CTTAGCTAAACGACTAAGTGACGGACAACGGTTTTATCCAACAGCAGAAGATTCGGACAACATCTTCGCGGAGGTTGATAGCCCAAGCCAGAGAAGCCCGTATGTTCTCCATCCAATCCTGCAGGTATTTGAAATAGATGGCTGATAAGAACCATGATAGTGGAGGCTTGCATGAACGTCCAAAGTCGGCAAGATTTCACTCGGCAACACACCGTTTAACGGATGGCCCTAATCCATCCGACATTCCAGCATCGCACTCCCGAAACCTGTACGATATACCGATTCCGCCCATTTCTGGTGCATTGCGCGCAGCGGGTCGAACATTCTCTTTCGGTGGCAGATTTTCTAAGGCTTCAGCACCGACCCCTCCTCAGCCCTCCACCCCAGGTCCCTCTAGAAGTCGGGCAATGACAGCCAGCACGACAAGCACAGCGACGCCTCCGAAACTGCTGGACACAGACTTGCAGATTGGTCAAGGAGAAGACGAGTTCCACAACATGTTCGATGAAGTTGGGAAAAGGGAGGCTTCTCGAGAAAGGCCGGGAGATATGGTATGATGCGTAATTGAGACTATGCAGTATGTTGTTATTAACTCTCACCGGCAGTTTCCCCCGTCTTCAGACCTGGTAGGTCGCAAGCAGGCAAAGTCACCACGTCCCACTCCTATCAATACGGACCGATCGAAGGAAATCGAGCCCTCGCCTTACTCCTGGGATAGCCGACACTCGGGGGAGGGGCTTCTAATGGCAAGCGATTCACCACAGGACCGCACTTCAGCATTGCAGCAAACACTGAACTCTCACCCTGTGTCACCAGAGGACCGTCGGAGATCCTTGCCCTTGTCGAGTGTAATGCCGATGACCACAACCCATCGTTCACTGGAACAACCTCAGGTAACACCCGATAAAGGCTTGAGAAGGAGTGTTCATTATCCCAGCAAGCGAGCCTCTACACCCGTTGAAGATGAAGATGCCAAGTTAATCATGGAGTCGCTATATACCAATAAAAGAAGCTCACAGGTGTTGTTGACTACTGAACATGAGGATTCCGATGCGGAGCATGACACTCCCCTCTTCAGCAACAGCTATACAAGTACTGCGGATGGTTTAGGCCGTTCAGACGCTAATCCAATGGCCTCGCACAAATCGCTCGGTGTGGCCGAGGACCACCCCGACCCTTCTATAGCAGCACATGCAAGACTGGCTGCGCAGTACGAGGAGAGGCAGCCAGCACCAACAACATCGTCGAACAAAGTGATGACGCCTTCGCAATTTGAACATTACAGACAACAGCAGGAGTTGAGAAGATCTAAGAGCGATGCGTCTAAGAGTGAAGACTCTGCAGAGAGCGAATTTGACGAAGAGGATGAGGCGGAGAAGAATCGCGAAGTAGAGAGGCAGCGACGGAAGCAGGAGGCCCACCTCTCAGTGTACCGACAGCAGATGATGAAGGTGACCGGCCAAGAGTCCCCAGCGCCAGCACTTCGCTCAGAGGTTGATCGGGCTAATAACAGTACGCCGAACCTAACCGTCACACCATTGAATTCAGGTCATAGATCAGGCAGTGGAAAGAGCAGTGAGGGTGATGAAGACGAGGAAATTCCCCTGGGGATCCTGGCAGCACATGGGTTTCCCAATAGGAATCGTCCCCCTAGCCGCCTTGTCCCTTCGAACTCAATCCCCAATCTCCGAGCTTCATTCCACCAGCCTTATATATCGTCCTCGAGCTCCATTGCTGATCATGAACCCGGTAATCGTTCTAGTCTCCCTGTTTTTGCCAGAAATCTTCCACGGGACCCATACTTTGGGGCGAGTCTAGTCAATCCTTCTAATAGGGAATCTTTGGCCTTCGGAGGTGGTTCTTCAGTTTATGGAGGCCCAGCCGCTGCCGTCGGACCCTCGCCTGCATTGCCTCCTGGGGGGTTAGTAGGGGTGATAGCCACTGAGGAAAGAGCAAGAGCAATGAGAAGAGGTAGCCCCAACACACAAGCTATGTATGAGTATCAAGGCGGGCCGTCGGCAGTACCTACCCCACCTAGTGGTATTCCCAGGCCCTATACGATGATGAGCATGAATCCTGCGGGCTCGGCCGGACCCCCATCAGGGATATCTGCTACGGAGCAGGCACAAATACAGTTGTCTCAGCAAATGTCAAGTATGATGCAGATGCAGATGCAGTGGATGCAGCAGATGATCCAGATGCAGAGTGGACAGGTTCCATCTCAGCAATTAGCACCACCGACAGGCCCCCCGCCCACAGCGGCGGCTAATGCGAATATGAGACCATCCTCAATGCCCTCAGCTGGAGGAGTCAACAATGCTCCTGCTGCTTATCGGAACGATCAAAGAACACTGAGTATGCTTGATCCTAACGTTTCTTCTCGTCTTAATAGCCCAGCCACGCCATATAATGTGGCAGGTAACCGACCAAGAACTCCAGCAGGGCAAGGCTATGCTCCCTCCATTGCTCCATCGGAGCGCAGCAATGTTGGACTGGCACCTCGTTATAGACCTGTGTCAATATTACAGCCAGAGCCCGGACCAGCTGCTTTCCCCTTCATGTCAAAATCATGGAATGATGAGAACCAGAAGTCGACTCTCTCTGTACCTTCAGATAGATCAGTTCAAACCAGACCTACCATCGATCAAATCTCGAGTGGCGATAAGTCAACGATCACTGGCACAACGGGCCATGGTGCTGACCCGGATGATGATGATGATGAAGGCTGGGCAGAAATGATGAAGAAACGTGAGAAAAAGCGCAACAATTGGAAGATGAAGAAAGAGACGTCGAGTTTTGGAGACCTGCTAAATGCGGTACATTGACAGAATCAGTAGATAAATTCTTGCTGGTCATGTCGCGAGTATATTTTGTCGCATACCCTTGCGCTTCACTAATCATCCCACCTTCTAATGTATTATCCATGAAGGTGTTATACGTCCTAAGGAGTTTTCTTTTTTTTTTCTTTCCTTTTTGCCGCCCCCTTATACTGGGAGAAACACAGGGTGTTATAGCTGGTTGGCGTTTGACGGATCACTTTCTTCCCATACTTTCTCAAGTCTGTTCTCCATCTTTCAGCGCCTGTACCTCCAACTATTTAGTAGGTATTCTATAAGACATGCTATACAGATAACGTCTTAATGACACTACGATCAACCAGCCCGGGTTTATTGTCATGAATCTCCTGCCCAGGTCCATCTTGAGTCTCTTTTCCAGCTCCTCGGTATGCCGTGCTTGTCCTTTGCCATATACGGTCAGTCGAATAGCATTACCACTACTGGATGCACGTAAGATCTTCTAGGAGCGACGTGTGATGTTTACTTTAGAGGAAACCAGGGAGTAAAAGCCAATGACAGTCTAAGCAGACCCCAGAACGAGGCTACCATTCCTAGGTCATCGGCAATCACGCCCACAACGACGATGGGAATGTGACTCGGTGGACATTATCAAAAAAAATAAAAAAAACATATCACGTACAAGCGCTAAGGCTGATCGAGCTAGACAGTGACTACCTAGGCTTGCTTCCGAGCCCTGGACGGCCAGATTACTAGTATCAGGGTAGCGCTTTGACAACCGCAGTAGCAGTAGTTTCAGATTCCGTTACAATATCGGCCTGAACCCAAATCTTCATCTGGGACGAGGCTGGAGCGTGCGCTTGTTTTACTTACGGAGCCAAGTCATTTAACTGTGGCTTGATATTTGCGCCCCAGTCGAGGAAGCCTACACCAATGGGAAGAGTGTCACCTCAAGACATTGTTTGCACCGGGTTATTTACAATAGGAACGGCTTCTTGGAGGGTTAGCATCATATCCCGCATCATGACTCCAATTCTAGAGTAGACAATATAGATACTGCAAGCGAAGACACGGGAAGATCAACCATAGGAACAGATACTAAGGGGAGCTATTCATTTTCAGATGACTTGTGTGCAAGACTTGATTATTAGAGTAGAATCAGTGCGGAGAATAGGTGCTGCGCGGGCGGCAAATGCAAACCACCCAACAGGGAGTATAATCACGTGCTATTGGTCACGGGATTCTCTAGGTGAAAGGATTGAGATAAGACAATATCGTATCACTGAGCAAACATAGGGCTGCAAGATCATCACTATTATCTGCTCTCCTCCAATTTCTTGTGTTGTCAAGCCCTATTCCTAATATAATACTATTGGCTTATCCAGAGCACTTGAGTACCTATCTCTATTTCCCTACGGAGACATTATCAACTTGCTCATTTTCCTTTATAATTTGTTACTGGTATATTTATCTCGGCCTGGAAAAGGACGACCAGACTCCAGAAAAGCAACGATCCAAACATAAGATACCGTGAAATACAGAATCCCCCAGGTCCTGTGAACCTTGGACCCCGTACTAATATCAACTATACTGGGTTAAACAACGCCTTATCTGGGCTGTCCAACCTTCTTTTGGTTCAAGATGAATGCCCCTGACCGGTAAGGAAAGCAGTGCTTTGACTGTTCTTAGTTTTATTATTGTTGTTACTATTATCATCATTCTTCTTGCTGCTTGCAATACCCATATAAAGTATGATTTAACAACTGCATTCCATGGACCTTTTTTCAATATAGTTAAGGCAATGCGTTCCTGCTTGCTGAAAAAGGAAGGAGGGTTCAATTCACGAGTTGTCCTTGGTCGTTCTATGAGGATCTGAATCAATCACGGTAGTCGATCTAGGGCATCTGCTTCATCAATGCATGTGTTTGATCTGCTTGTGTTCATTGCTGTTCTTCTCTCATTCACCTCTTTTCGGGGACTTTCTGCCTGTTACCTTCTTACCCTCATTCTACCCCTCTGCTCTCCCCGAGACCATGATTTCCAGCAAAGAATATATTCTCTCCAAGGAGATGGCCTATGCACGCTGGATAAATTTGAACGGCAGTTCTCCACGTAATGGCTGCCAATCAACTGTCAAAGTTTCACATGACCAGCAACCTAGGTCTGCTATATCTGACTTATCATACCGTTATTCCCAGCTTACCTATGATGTTGCATCTATTTTGAGATTCCTTGCTGGGGAATTGGCTAATCATGGGTTGAATATAGTTATGAATCATTCGTCCTTGCGAATGGCGAGAACAAGGTTGAGATGGAGATTGATACACGTACGCCTCCCCACTACAGGTCTAGGATGTCAGCAGACACTCAAGTTTGGTTTTAGGTATCCCATCCTCTGCAATCTTCACTTTCAATAAGGAAGATCATACTCTTGGAAACCTGATTCGCTCCCGCCTTCTCCAAAGCTCCCATGTGCTCTTTGCTGCGTACAAGGTAGAACTTCCGTACTCTGCTAGTTGCATTGACCTCGATTCCCCCTTGTCTCTGTGTCTTAGAAAATCGACGAATATGTCTGACATGCAAACTCCAGGTTCCTCATCCGCTTGTGCCAAAGTTCGAACTCCGTGTACAGACCGACGGTGAGACTACCCCCAAGGAAGCCGTCATTTCTGCGTGCCACGAACTCGTTCGAGACCTGGGCATCTTGTCACGTGAATTCACCAAGGAATATGAACTCCGCAAGATGGTGGGAGCCACTCAGCAGCAACAGGACAGTGTACAAGATGGAGCCTAGGTGATTACTGAACCATCAACTAAAGTGAGCTGGTTTTGAAACCTTTGCTTCGAATTTACGCAGCTGGCTATGCGTGTGCTCGGTTATGTCTATTCTCTATTGCTGTCTTCCTTTTAATGCTCTTTCAATTTCTGTGTGTTCGCTCTCTTGGCACCTGTAATTAACGAAGCTAGCTCTTGGCGTGTTCCTGGGGATTTGCATGTTATCCACGATAGTGATATGGTATGCGAGATTGTGGGTTTTCGTCAGCGATAATTGATCCAGCATACCATGAGGATTGCTGTATTTGCTCGATATTCTATTGCATGATACACAAAGGAAAATAACTAGTTATCTTTATATTAAGTACTAGTAGACACCTGTACCTATTTTGTACCTGTTTTGTTCCTAATATGTTGGTGTTCAGGTAACTGCGGAGTAGGTACCTATTAGTTGCGGCCCACCCACTATCCAATTTGGATTAGCGCAAGGCGCTCCGCGTCCCTGACTGCCGTCGTCACCTGGCAGCTCCTGACCTTCCATCGCTACCTGTCCGGCGGTTTCTATCGTTATTCCAATTTCTCTATCCTTTTATTATCAATCTGTGGCCTACCAATTTTTCTTTCTTATGTGATTTTTGATTGCTTATCCAATGCAAGAGCCGTGTTAGGAATGTACTCTTCGTCGAATTCCTTCATGGGCGGCGCCAACAGCGCTCGCCCGGGACAACCACCTTTCATGCAGCAGCCTTCATACTCTCAAACCCCCCACAGGCAGCAAACACCCCAGCAGCAACAACAGCATCAAGGTCTTGCACCCCAACCTACCGGATATGGTTCCCAATTGTCTGGATTCGGAGGCTCTCATCTGCAGCCTCAGCCCACAGGGTTCTCTCCAGGGCCGTTACAACCACAATTCACAAGTTTTCCACAACCGCAGCAGCAACCTGGCTTCCAGACCTCCGCTCAGCCGCCCCAGTTCACCGGATATCCTATTCAGAGTCAAGTCCCGCAGCTCCAAGCCCCTTCGAGTACCGGCCTACCGGTCCGGCTGGCCCCTCAGACATCATCCGAGATAGCGGACTCCTTCAGGGGTAGCACTGGTGCTGCTCCCACCCCGCCCCCCAAAACCCCAGGGAGCAAAATCCCTAGCATTCGGCTCTCGTTCATAACAGCACAAGACCAGGCTAAATTCGAACAGCTTTTTAAATCAGCAGTCGGAGATAGTCAGACGATGAGTGGAGAAAAGGCCAAAGACCTACTTCTGCGGTCAAGGCTTCCAGGAGGTGATCTGTCGAAGATATGGGTCTTGTCAGACACCACAAAGTCGGGCCAACTGTTTTTCCCGGAGTTTGCTTTGGCTATGTATCTGTGCAACATACGGATTACAGGCAGAGATCTGCCAGATGCCCTCCCCGAGAAGATAAAGAATGAAGTTTCTAGTATGGTAGATATCATTTCTTTTCAGGTCCCTGACACGCAACCAGAGACGGCTATCCCCACGAATGTTCCAAACTTCGATGCGCCGTTACTGGAGAACAAATCTGCTCCTCCAGCTCCTCAGCAACCGCAACCGCAACAGCCGACCAACTCTCAGCTTCTCACGCAGCTCACAGCGCAGCCAACGGGATTTCACACTCAGTCGACTGGCATCCAATCTTCTTTTCCTGGACAAAGCTCAAGTCTACTTCCGCAAGCTACGGCCTTCCCCGGGCAGTCCCAGCAACAGTTTCTACAAGCTCAACCAACAGGGCTGATGTCTAATCCCCAGCCTACAGGCTATAATGGACCCCGTCCCCCGGTGCCGCCGATGCCCACGAGCCTCGGGCCCAACCTCAGTCCCGCACAAACCGGTGGGGTTTCTAGTTTAATCGCCCAGCCTACTGGAATCCCCGGGCAGTGGGGCTTTGTCAATGCTCCGTCATCTGGATTGCCCAATATAGAAGCCCTCAAACAGCAACTTATGCCTCAACCGGGCCGAGAGGGTGGATATTCAGCCGCCGGTCTTTCTGGAAATGCTCACATTCCTTGGGCAATCACCAAAGAAGAGAAAAAAATCTATGATGATCTCTTTCGGGCATGGGATGGATTTCATAAGGGCTTCATTGGCGGTGATACTGCTATCGAAATCATGGGGCAAAGTGGGCTGGATCGGAAAGATCTCGAGCGTATCTGGACACTCGCGGATCCCCACAACAGAGGCCGGCTCAACATGGATGAATTCGCTGTGGCGATGCATCTAATATACAGGAAGCTGAATGGATATCCGGTCCCGAATCGCCTCCCGCCGGAGCTAGTGCCCCCATCAACAAGGAATCTCAATGACTCGATAGGCACAATCAAATCGATGCTCTCCCAGGATGCAGAAAGTCGAAAAGCGTCCGGTGCTTTTCTACAGCCGCAGAAAACCGGTGTAAGTTATCTCAAAGATCACTCATTCCGTGGTGGTAGTGGTGCGTCTCCCGGGTCAGGCCGCAAAGACGCCACTTTGTTCAAGAACAATGACGAAGCTGCCGCTGGGTATCGTTCTAGCGCCCGTCGCCGTGTTGGAAACAATGGTAGGACGCCGTCGCCTGCTGCTTCGCAAGCATCTGAAGAAGAGTTGTCCGTTGGGCAGCTAAAGAAGAAGATACGCGAGACACAAATCATGTTGGATGCAGTCGACTTTCAGGACGAGAATCGCGCCGAAGAAGAAGACGCTCTGGACCGCAGGGATCGTCGGGAAGTAGAGAGCCTTATGGATCGAATCCGGCGTGTTCAGGATGACATTGACACACACCCGGATGCGGCCTTCCGCAACCTTGACAACGGTGCTGAGCGAAGGTCCCTACGCCGTCAGCTGCAATCTTATGAGGACCAAGTTCCTCAAATAGCTTCAGATGTTCGACGGGTTGAACGTGACATTGCTGAGGCTAAACTCGAGCTTTTCCGCCTGAAGGATGCAAAGGATCACCCCAATAGTGCGTCGAATATCGTGGGAACTGGTCCGGGAGGTGCAGTGACAGAGGCAGATCGTATCAAGGCTCGTGCTCGCGCTAGAATGCAAGCTCGTGCAGCCGAGCTTGCCGGCAGACCGACCCCGCCCTCTCAAAATGATGATGGTGCCGCAGCTCGACGAATTGAAGCTGAGAGCGCCAAAATTAAGGCAGATAGAGAAAAGAATGATGGCATGACTCGTGATGTGGAGGACAGTGTAAAAGACTTTGCTCGAAGTCTCGAGGATACTCTGAAGGATGCGAGTGAGAATTCAACGCGCGAGCATGAAAGGCGGCGGTGGGAAGATGCTTTAGGGGTAGAGGATGTGATTCGAGACTTCATTTACGACCTAAAGCGTAACAGCCGAACCGCATATATTCGGAAAGAAGAGTAAGTTGCTCCCAAAATACTCCAGTTTCGTTGGTCAACAAGCCATCGAATACCCTCTTATGATATTAACGACGGTCTAGGGCATCGCGATCCATGCACGAGGAGCGCGAGCGTCTACGATACGATGAAGCGCCCGTTACCCGGCCTTCTCCCCCCCCGTCCACTGGCTCCACGGGCTCATTTCCTGGTTCTACCCACGAGGATCGTGTTGCCGCTGCAAGGGAACGTGCGCAGAAGCGCATTGCTGAACGAATGGCAGCTGCTGGCCTCAAGCCTCACAATAACACTGCAGAAACCCTCCTTCAGCGTCAGGAACGGGAAAAAAGGGAACGCGAGGAACGACTGAAGCAAGCAGAAGAAGAAGATACTAGACGCGAGCAAGAAAGACAGCGTCGACTGGCCGAAGAACAGGGTAGTTCAATGGCGCAACCTGTTAAACCGACGTCCAAGAAACCCCCGCCGGCACCACCTTCGAGACGTGGTCGTACTGACAGCGCAGGACAGGCGGAGGCTAAAAAGGCGGCAGAAGAATTGGCGAGAGTAGAACAGGCTGCCCGAGCGCAAACAATCCGCGAAGAAGAAGAGGAGGCACAAGGGGAGAGGAAACGTCTTGAGTATGTGATTATAGTTGAGTTTTGTCTTGAATTCTTTCAATCGCTGACAAGGGATTCTCTAGGCATGATGCTAGGAAACGTGAAGAGGAGTTCCAGAGAGAGAAGGAGGCACAAGAAGCCCGCCTCCGAGCACTCCAAGAACAGGTGCAGCAAGGCAAGATAAAAAAACAGGAAGCGAAGCGGCGGAAAGAAGAAGCAGATCGATTAGCAAAAGAGCAGGAAGCCAAGCTTACTGCTCAACGTGCTGAGCTTGAAATGGCTAAAGAACGGGAAAGGCAACTTCAATTGGAGTTGGAAGCCTTAGATGAGGAAAGCTCCTCAGATGAAGAAGGCCCAGAGAATATCACTCCCCAGCATAGTACCCCTGCGCAGAGTCAAATTCTTCCTGGAATCGACGTTACAGCGCCTGTTGCTCCCTCGGCCCCAGAGCCAGACGGACCGACTAGTGCTACGAGTTCTCCAACCAACGGTCGCACCGGATTAGCCCACGTCCCTCTAGAGACTGAATCGAAGAACCCTTATTTCAAGAAGATCAGTCTGCCTACCGAGAGCCAAGTTGCCACACCACAACCCGCTCCTAAGGCCACTGCAACTTCCCCCAAGGCCGACGTTCAGTCAACTAACCCTTTCCATCGGCTTGCACAACAGCAAGATAACGCGAAGCCTGCATTCACAGCAGCGGGTCCAATAGAACGTGTGTCCCGTGCACGCCCTGAGACGGATGACGATTGGTCTGCAGCAGGATCAGACTTCGACTCATCTGATGATGATGATGATGACGATGGGCGGCCTGGCGGTGGAAGTGCGAAACAGCTCGCAAGCATCCTATTCGGTACTATGGCTCCACCACGGCCTTTGAGTGCGATGGACGACAAATCTCCTTCGAAACCATCTACTCCTGCGCCAGGTACTCCATTAGCCGCTCCAGCAGCACCCGAGACAGATGAAACCTTGTCTATTCCCTCTGCTGCTCCCCCACCTCCACCGCCGCCCCCACCAATGGTAGCACCGGTTCCCTCGACAACGCTCAGCCCTGGTTCTC